ATAATGCAGATTTGTTTAATTTCACTCCTTTAACTACCACGCTTTAACATTCTGCCAACTGACCTGTTTCTCCAATTCATGTTGATTCAAAAAGGGATTCCTCTCTAGCTGCACACACTTTAATTTTTTAAAAGGGTAATTACATACTAAATTTAATCAATACCTGGAAAATACACCAGAGAACCAACTACTCATGAATATCATGTGCTACTGATCTCCAGTAGTCAAGAGGGCATACAAAAAAGTGAAAGGGCTTTATGCTTTACGAAGACCACAATTTAGTCAGACTGATCAGATGAAAATGAAGAAGGTATAACCACAGGTAAGAAGGAACATCTCCATTTTATATATAGGATGGCCAACCCACGCCTGGTGTTTAATCATAGCATTTTTTCTATAGCATTACCATGTTATTTGTGCACCCATTTTTTCTTAATAACATCCCATAGTTTTGCCAATCACAGTAGTGGTTGTGGCATGTCCCTTCAGATATATCAGCACTGGAATTTTCTTTTCTCTCTCTCTCCAAGCACCCACTTCGGTTGTACAAAGCAAAACTGGGAGCAGGAAAAGAGGTTACCAATTTTTGTGACATTCTGCACGTTCCTTATTGCTGTAAATAGTGCCACACATACTCACTGCATGTTTCTCCTGGTGCACCACGTAAAGTGCCACAGAGTTAGCACAGGCTGTTCCTTTTGTGGGAGCAACAGACACATGACGTACAACAAGCATCACCCCCCAAAACTCCGAGGTTCCTTGCCATAGTTTGGAAATACTCCTAGAACCTCCTTCCACCCTGGCTAGCAGGCCATACTGGCTGGGGGAGTGTAGGAGTTATTATTTGAAAATGCAACTTTTCCAAATCAGTTCCCTCCTTTTCCTCCACCAAATCTGTACAGTTATCAAACTACAGACACCAGATAAGAAGTAGTGCTAAGAAGGAACTGCCTTGCTTTGCTCTGTAGGAACAACAGTCTCTATATAGTCTTTTATCTGGCAGCTCCTAACAAATCTAGCATCAAATTTATTGTGGAAGTATAGGTTAGAAAGATGCATGGTAAAAGACATACTAGAGATGTTACCCATGCAGTGATATGTCCCCATTTTGAAGACTGTTTCAAATAACAAGAAAGAAGGCTTCCCACCTCCCCGTATTGTTTCTAAAAAGCACAGAATAAAGGTAAGGTAAGAAACTCTGGCCTTCCTTGATTCCCTTTGTTTCCTGAGGCAGGGAGAAGAGGACAGAAAAGGAGGAGGGGCAACATCTTTGTGATTTTGGCTCTGTGTTATCAAGAGATCATTTCCCATCATTGTGAGGAACAATTATTCCTGACTGCATAGGGCGGTCAATCAACAAAACACTTTTTTCCCCAGGAAAGCAGCAAGAAAAAGAAGAGGAAATGCATTCCAGATGGAAAGCTACTGTTTTACCTTTCCCACCTAAGTCAATCTTTATGCCTCTAAATTGGCCCATTGAGACCAGAAAGATGGTTCTGTATGGAAATATGAAGATTCCTATTACTGCTCAGGTCATTTGGAGGTGAAGTAAAAAGAGATGTTTATGAGGTAGAGGTATAGCTTGTTGATATCCATTTTGTAAACTTTATCTTAACATTTTAAAAATCCATTTAAAAAACAATGCCTGTCAGTGTGGATAGAGAACAGACACACAAGCACACAAAGAAACAAGAACAGAGGTAAGAAAAGGGAGGAAAAATTTAGAACACAGCACCGTTTTACAAAATTTAAGTAAATCTTTCACATGTAAGTAATTAGCTGCATTACCCTAATTCACTCTATGTGGGGCTGCCTTTGGAAAGTGTTCCGAAACATCAGTGGGTCCAAACAGCTGTAGCCAGATTGTTAACTGGGGCTGGTAACAAGGATCACCAGTAGCTCCCTTCTTACAGTAGCTTCACTGGTTGCTGATCTGATCCTGGCTACAATTCAGAGTGCTAGTTTTAACCTATAAAGCCCTAAACAGCTTGGGGACAAGCTATCTTAAGGACCATGTCTCCCCTTATAAGCCTACCTGAGTGATGAGTGCTCATCAGGGGAGGGACTTTCTCTCAGTCCCACCACACGCAGAGGTACGCATTTGGTGAGGACACAGAAGACAGCCTTCTCTGTTGCTGGCCTGAGACTCCAGGACTCCCTCCCATGGGAGGCCAGGCTAGCCCCATCTTCGCTGTCCTTCCATAAGCAAAGACCTTTCTCTTCTGGCAAGCTTTCCCTTAGTGACTGGCTGCCTGAGTGGAGGTTTTAAATGGATTGTTGTGCCTTAATGTTTTGACTATGTCTTTGGTGTTGCTTTTTGTTTTCTCTCTTTTAGTGTGGTATTTGTTTGGTTTTTTTCAGTATTTGTATACTTTTAGCTGCTTTTAGTGTGGTATTTGTTTGATTTTTTTCAGTATTTGTATACTTTTAGCTATTTAATATTGTATTTTTAATGCTTTAAGCCACCTTGGGTGCTTTTTAAGGAGAAAGGTGGGATAAAAATATTTTCAATAAACAAATACAGTAATAAATGTAAGTCTCTTCTTCTAAGCTATATAAATATAGTGTTTGTTTTGCAGGTGTGGACTCAGAAGGGATACATTTTTGCTTTGTTAGGCTATCACTACTGAACAGTGATGTGAATGAAGGTTTGTACATGTTCTAGCAGTTGGCAGGGCTGGTGCTAGAGAGGGCCACAATGCGGATGATATGGTGACTCTCACTTGTTTCCTCCTCTATGGCAACCAGAAGCCACTACATATATCTGTTGTCAACACAAGCCTCCCTTCTTCCATCAGCAGTTGTGAGGTAAACATTTCAGAGCCTGGAAAAACGACCTGTTTTCAGTTACAAATCCTAAGAATCCTCTAGTCCAATGGTCTCCAACCTTGGGCCTCCAGATGTTCTTGGACTCCAACTCCCAGAAACCTTCATCATCACCTCTGCTGGCCAGGATTTCTGGGAGCTGAAGTCCAACAACATCTGGAGGCCCAAGGTTGGGGACCACTGCTCTAGTCAACAAGACCCCAAAAACAGTTTTCCACACTTTGGATCTTGTAAAGGAGGCAACTTTCAGTTACAAATCCTAAGAATCCTCTAGTCCAATGGTCTCCAACCTTGGGCCTCCAGATGTTCTTGGACTCCAACTCCCAGAAACCTTCATCATCACCTCTGCTGGCCAGGATTTCTGGGAGCTGAAGTCCAACAACATCTGGAGGCCCAAGGTTGGGGACCACTGCGTCTAGTCAACAAGACCCCAAAAATAGTTTTCCACACTTTGGATCTTGTAAAGGAGGCAACTGGGCATCTCTCCACCTTTTTAGAATATACTACTCACACACACACAAAAAGGACTTTTCTACAGAGATTATTTTTATGTGCCATAGTGTCAATTCCTACTTATGACTATGCCTTCTAGCATTTTCCAGAGTACAGTATACCTGCCTTTCTTTTGGGGTGGTCTGGAACCTGTAGCTTACCCAAAGCCACAGAACCTGACTCTTCTGCAAAGCACAGTGGGGAGTCTAAGCTTTGACCCCAAGCTTGACAGTTATGTGCTCTGACTCAGTGCACTATCCAGTCAACTAACTGAAATGCAGTGGGATTCTGAGAGTTGCTGTCAACCCCCCCCCCAAAAAAAACCAAATCTAATATAATCTGTGCTTCCTCCTTTAAAAACAGTTGATGTAATCAAAGGTGCTGGTGCTACAATGACCGATAGGATCTACTATTAGCCATCCCATAGCAATTTTCCATTTCCAGGGGATCCTATATTTGGTACCATAGCACCATGCAAAAGAAAAGGTACAAAAGTCAAACACAACTCACTTCTACAATCACAAGCAAATCCACTGATGAGGTAGACCAATAATTATACTCAACTTCATTTTCGTGATTCAAGGTATACCCCCTTCTACTGGAAAAATCATAGCAGCCTAGGTCTTCATAGAGGACAACATGAAATGCTTATAAAACACACAGGTGTGGGGGGGGAACAGGTCATTCTCCTCTAAACAGACATCTAAAAGCCATAGTACATACATGTAAGCATATTCCAATGTTCAATTTGCTACACTCGGTGGCAAAATGACACAGTAGTTGTTTCTACTGCTACTGTACTGTTATTGATGTGTTTTTCTCTAATATGGTCAACCAAAGAACCATTCCAAATAAATTTATGCATCTCTCTTGTGCGCTCTCTCTTAAGGATCTTCTGGGCTAATCAAAATTACTTTCCATGATTATTTGTTTAAACTCAACACAATTCAGTTAACAAGACACTGAAGATGTGTAATTTTCCTAGAGAGTAGCAAAGTAAATTCAGCCAGGAAGCTGCACTAATCAGAATGTATTAAGATACATCAAATCGTCCTGTACTGCTGTTATGCCAGAAAGAGGTTAATTTGTAGCACTTATTTGCATCTGTCACTTGGAAAGTGAGGTTTTCAGCACCAGCCATAACACACAGGAATTTTATACATTTAACAGTTTAGTCTCTTAGCTAATTTTAATTTGTAGCTGTTGAGTCTCATTTCTTACATATGTTCCATCTCATATTAACTTAAATCTTTCTCAACTACATCATACCAGGAAGACAAGTAGCTGCATTATCTTCATATGGCTGGTAGCACAGGATGCTGGCTATCCTACTTACAATCAATCCAATCAAAAATCAAAAGAGTGTTTCATAAGAAATGTCTCTTAACTGGCTGAGGACAAACTATAATACCTGGAGAGAAAAACTGCAGAATTATAATCATCATGGATTTGATGTATGAATAGAGTAAATTGGATGTATTTATAGAGTAGATACACTGACGAATAAGATAGCCCAGGAGAAAAGTTTGTATTGGATGTTAGAGAACAGCATGCTAACAGAAAGAAAAATCCTTGAAAAACAGGGAAAATGCAGGGCAAGACTTTAGAAGTTCAAATACTACACTAATCTGTCTTGTTTTTTTTACTAAGAGAAGTCATTCAATTTTTTTTTTCAAGCTTACCTGGCCAAGAGAGGGAAGTGCTCCATAAGCCATTGGCTGATTCATCATTCCTTTCTGCTTCATAATAAGCATGCGTTTCTGCTCTTCACTCAAGTGTGTCATTTGAGCTTGCATTTGTGGCTGCTGAGGCGGCTGGGCCGGCTGCTGCATGTATGGCATCATGGGATTCTTGCTGGGATTGGCCATTGGTGGGGTCATTCTTTGACTTAAATCAGCATTGTAATGAGTCAGAGGTTTAGTGTTGCCATAAGAAAGCATATTGGTTTGCTTGCTCAAAGAGTTGGAACCTAGGTTATTTGGCTGTTGACTGATCACGTTCATGTGGTTTTGAGGGAGGTAGTTGTTCATTGGAGTCTTTTGTGGGTTGCTCGCTGTAGGAGGCACTACAGGATTTTGGTTGTTAAAGGCTTGGGGATACATCATTGGGCTATTTGGTTTATCAGTACTGAAGGGGCCCCCATAAGGACTAGATGGAGGCCCTACTGGAGACCAGCTAGATGTTTGATTTGGATGCTGCTGCTGTTGCTGCTTTTGCTGCATGAGTTTAGCTCGCTGCTGCTGCTGCGCTGCCATCTGTTTAAGCTGTTCAGCTGGAGACAAGTCAGCACTCGGTACAGTCACCTGGGTGGGACCTGTGCCTGCTGTCGTCACTGTTGCCGGATTAATGAGATAGCCATTGCCTGATCGTGACTGCGTTTGCCCTGGGGTATGGGCTTGGTTGGGGGTCTGAGGTGACTGAACCACGCAACTTGCTGGTGAGCTGTCAGGGACTGGAGCAGGCGGTGCACTAGTCACAGGTGGTAGGCTAGAAGCTGTTGGAACATTTGGAAATGGAGGACCCGAAGAAGAAGGCCTTACCTGGGGGGATCCTATAGGTACATGGGCAAAGGGAGAGTGGGATGGATCACTTTTGACACTTGCACTCTCCTGAGTCTCAATGGCTGGTCTGGGAAATTCGGGTTCCTTTTTGTCTTCAAAGTCTTCATTGAATAAGTCTTGTATATCATCCTCTGGAACTGTGTTGGCCAGTTCATCTATCAGCTCCTGCCACTCTTGATCATTTAGGTTAATGTCCGAAAAGAGTTTATTCTGATTTGAAAGAGATGTCTCGGAGTTGTCAAGGCAGTTAGGGTCATCCAAGGGCTCTTGTTTCAGCTCCTTGCTGTTGCTGTTGTGCAAGATGTTAAAACTGTCCTCAAGTTCAGTGCATCCGTTGATTGGGAGTTTTATCTCCGGAAGTCCACCATTTTTACTTACATCTTCCAGACCACCAGCATGAGTTCCGCTGTTCTGCAGGGGCAAAGATGGCTTTATGTCAAGCTGATGAAGAGGAGAAAGAGAAGGCAAAGGCAGGCTATTGGGCAAGCTGTTGACTCTCTCAATCCCAGGTGGATCCTTTCGTATCCGCTTGCCAGTTGGAGAGAAGCTACTCTCACAGACGCCATTCTGCTGTTCACCATTGAGGGGTGAGCGTGCTCCTTCCAACTTCCTCTTCACTGTCTCCTGAAGCTTAAAGAAAGAGAACAAATTAGATGCTTACACACACTTCTACCTTCTATAAACAATCCTCACACTGAACATGTATGCAATAAACTTTGTTGATAGTAAATGTACTACATTTTAACTCCTGTATTCTGTTCTCTAAAACAAAACCAGGGATGTATCCAAACGTAACCCTTTGTAAACAAAAGGGACCCTACTACTCATGGAGGCAACCGTGATCCAGGGGAGTCTCCCATTGGAGAAGATTTTGCCAATGTGCCTCCTCCTTCTGCTGTACCCAATGTGGTGCCCTACACTCTTCCAGATGATGCACCAACACTCCAGCTTTTCACAGAGCATAGAGGGCTGCTGCCCCAACTCTTTCATCTAGAACAAATAGATGCCTTCTTGTACAAGTCCAGATACAATTCAATATCCCATTATGCTCTGGCTGAAGTGAGACAGAGGCCTCCCACCTCACCTTCCAAGTCTGAAGATAAAAAGATCCAGCCATTGCTCAGAATGATGTGCATTATTTGTTTCCCCATCCCAAACTATTATAATTCCTAGTTAAATTGTTTTTTCCAGCTTTTTGTACCATTTTAAGAGGAGTGAAAAACCCATATCCCTAAAGATGTTAGTGAGGGGTGTAATAAATGCAGTGTTTACCCCAGGGAATGCTTGTTTCTGTGTGTTCTCTTACAACTCATTATCTATTTCCAGCCTTAGTCAGCAATATTGGATATGTTTCCTCGAAAACAAACATTGCTCACAGAATCTTCAGAATTCAGCTAGCGCAGGATCTCTTTGAGCTAAAGACGGAAGCTACAGCATTATAATGTGGCCTGCTATTTAAAAAACATTTTGTATTCAAACTGCATGTAGCTGGTTAGGTCTTCTCCTGGATCTTCTCCAAGAGACACAAAGCTAGGCATAACACAGCAAAGACTGCAAAGAGGGTATAGCAGTAAATCAAAGACATTAAGACAGTTCCACACTAAAGAATAACAATCAGAAAATAAAGATTACTAAAAATATAGGAAATATGGAGTTTTGCTTAGGTTTCACTGACTGCTGTGGGGTCAAAGCACCATTTATTTCCTCTAGAGCAATGGCTCACGGCCTTGGGTTCACAGATGTTCTTGGACTGCAACTCCCAGAAAATCTGGCCAGCACAGCTAGTGGTGAAGGCTTCTGGAGGTTTTAATCCAAGAACATCTGGAGGCCCAAGGCTGGGAACCACTGCTCTAGAAGATCAATGATGGTTAGGTATCATTTACAATCTGGAATGTGCCTAATATCACTATCAATAATTTGGTTACTGGTATAATAAAAACAAAGAGCACGACATTGACTTTGTTAATTTGAGAAATATCACCCCAATGAGGATTTCTTAAGAGATTTGCTTTCTGCAAATGGCAAGCCATGAAATACCTCTAATTTTTCACAGTAGAAAAATCAAGTCAGTATTACATGTCAAGGTTTTTTTAAAAAATAAGTACTTTTTGAAAGAAATAATAGTAAAGATAGGAAGCTGAGAGATCATCTCTTTAGTGAACATGTTTTGATATTAAAACAATGGAGGACAAAACTTTGATATTAAAACAATGGAGGACAAAACTTTAATTTTTAAAGCTGTCTTATGACTACTGCCTTTCCATTTGGAATATATTTTTATTTATATCTGTCTACCCTTCAGTAAAAAAAAATTTCCAAAGAGTCTAACAATTGCAATTAGTAAAGACACAAATAAAAATAAAACTACAATCGTAAGGAAACAAAATCAAGTGCGGAAACAGTAAAAACAAGAAGAGCAACAGCCACTACCAATGCCACACAAATTATCAGCTCAAACAGCCAGCCAGATACCATAGTGAAAGGCCTTGACAAACAGGAAGCTTTCACCTGAAAACATATCAGCTTTGCCACATAGTCAGCTCTCTTCAGGGATGGCATCCCACATCCAAGGTGACACAACTAAAGAGATTCTCTCTCTAGTCACGTTCACACCGCACACATCAGGAAAGGAATATCTCAGAAAGATGAGTACTGTAACACTGGAGAGATTAATTTCTCTAGTAAATAGTAAAGCTCTTCAAACCATCTTCATTATTCCATCCATCATATGTTTGGTTCAGTTTTTCTCTCCTCATAGGTTATGCCATGGATATCCCATAGTCTGAGTTCATGGAATAGACTCACCCTAAAATGCTGGGATACCCACCAGCCGTTTCTACTCAGAAGTCTCAGCTTTCATGTGCTTGAAAACAAATCAAGCCCAAGTTCCTTCAACATTTGTACAACAAATGTTCAACAAAAACAAATCAAGCCCAAGTTCCAGTCAACATTTGTAAGTGGCCTACAAATTAGCATACCATTACTGTAGTCCTCTGGTTCTGCTAATTCCCCATTCTCTGCTCTCTAGCTATTCTGAACAAATGCTTTATATTTTACCTTTCATCTTTTCCTTTCCGATAAGAAAGTTTATTTCCCCCAGTTGCTTTAACTGGGAAAGACCATTATCTCATTTCATTGGCCTTCCTGCGCTGTTTAGCAGCATTCTCTGTTAAGCGTAACACTCACAAGACACGACAAGGGTCAGGCACCACTTCAATCCCACTTAAGCTCTCTAACTGCTACTGAAGTGACAGCTGTAGGAAAAACACCACCCCACAGACTGTCTTTTCAGGCCAATCTCTTAACTTCCTTTAACTCTATTGAGGCAGGATAAATATTTAGATAAAGTGACTAAAGTGACTTCAAAATCTGCTATCTTTGCTAAACATGATTGCTTGTCACCAATCATGTTTCAGGTAGCATTGGCTCTAACTTCTTCTTCTACCAAGTGCACTCTGGAAGTGATCAATTGTGTTTTTGCAGATGCATTTTTAAAAATGTGATTGCAGCTCTGTGCTATTTACAGTGGTGCCTCGCTAGACAATTACCCCGCATGACAGTTTTTCGCTAGACATTGATTTTTTGCAATCGCTATAGCGATTCGCAAAACAGTGATTCCTATGGGGGAATTTTGCTGGACGATGTTTGGTCCCTGCTTCGCAAACCGATTTTCGCTAGACAACGATTTTGACAGCTCCCTCCGCGCTCGCAAAAAGGGTGTTTTCGGGACCTAAGCTTTGCAAGACAGCTATTTAAACAGCTGATCGGTGGTTCGCAAAGCGGCTTTCCTATGGCTGATCTTCACTAGACAACGACAATTCTTCCCCATTGGAACACATTAAACAGGTTTCAATGCATTCCAGTGGGGAAATGCTTTTTGCTAGACGATGATTCTGCTAAACAGCGATTTCAGTGGAATGGATTATCGTCTAGCGAGGCACCACTGTATTTTACTGATCATTTTATTTGTTTGTGTGTGTTATCCTTACACCATGGCCTGTGTAGAGAGGAAAAATTAATAACTTTAAATAATAATATGCTAATATATTCCAGAAATATTATATAATATATACTTGTGTGTAAAGTGAATCCCACTAGAGAGGCTTTCTTTTCTCCACTCTTTTAACCTTTCCCTTTTCCTACTTTTCACCTTACAAGTTTATCAGAACACTTTGACACTGGGAGGAGTTGAAGATTATAACCCGTTATGAGGAGCTGGACGTGTTGTCCAGAATGGAAAATTGAAATGGAAGAATTATGAATGTACCACTTCAGTCTGCAAGTAAGTATAATAATTTACAGTACTTTTCAATTTAAAAATCAAAAATAATATCTAGTATTAACTTTAACTAGAAGAAAGGTTTAGTAGAGCTGTTTCTCTGAATGCTACCATTTCAGAAACAATAGAGTCGTACTGAGTCTCGACTAAATTAAAGACAAGAAGTATTTTAAGTGGGGCAGAACTGAAAAACACAACGGTGGCATCCAGAATTCTACCACTTACACATCAATACACTTTTAACTAGTTAGCCACACGTTCCCATACTAGTCCCACAGATAAACCTGCAGAGCATTTTTACCACATCAGCAACTTCTTACAGACAGAACTAACAAGAAAATCTAGTCCTGCCACTAGCTTTCCTAATGTACATGCATCCTTCACATGCATTAGGATATGCAAAAAAGAATGGAACATTCTGAAAGATAATTCCTCCAGCAATTTGAGACAGCTATTTATGACACTGTCTAAAGTGCAGAGCCAGTCTTAGGTGCAGAAAATTCCAGCACAAACCAATCTAGGCCATTTCTATACTACTGAAATGCAGGTGGAATAAGGTCAATCATATTGCTGTTTCCACTTCACCCCCAAGGGAGTGACACATCTTTCAGACATGGTTTACATCCAGTGTGCCTTCTCCTGTCAAACACATGGTGCATAACAAGGTCTGAGGTTCTTATATGCTTATCTTCCTGAGCAACTCAGTAACGTCTGCCTTTCCCAGCAGGTTCCTTGTTGCTTAAACCTTACTGTCACCTAGGTACCTAAGCATCTGAAATGAAGCAGGGATTAATAACACACAAACAATTCTACGCTGAATAAGCAATTCCGATGGTAAGTTATGCTTGATATGTTGTGCACTTTTCCACAATGAAAACAGCCAAAGATCGACATGTTCAGATATACTGTATATATATATTTCCATAAATTTCAAATATTTCTCAGTCCTGAAATACTACAATTTAGATTTATACCCTTTTGTGCTGTAAATACTAACCAGTTGCAAAACTGGTTTCATAATACTGTAGGTTATTAGCTGACATAATCTAAATATCTGTTGTTCACTACAGAATTTATGAGGCCAGCAGAAGTCTCTCATGCCTCCTTTTTTTATCATAAATTTATTTTTTTATTTAAAATATTTTACCCCACCTTTCTCCTTAAAAAGTACCCAAGTCCTTTTAATTAAAAATCAATATTTTTTATAATTTTAATTTCTTATAATTAAAAGTCAATGAGCATACAAAGGTGGCTTATATCATTAAAAGAGACATTTATAGCTAAAACAATAAGTATACAAATACTAAAAAGGACCAAACAAATACTACAAATACTCTAAGAAATGCTAAAC